TGAGACGACACACATGTGGCTCTCGAACTCTCATGCTTTATCTACCACCTCGTTCTTACATGTCACATACTTTCACGTTACGCACTTACATCATGACGTATTACACTTGAATACATTACATCCCCCCTTTTTTTTAAGAGTTATCTAAACATTCAATAATGGGTAATGCTTTAGATTACAACCCGCAAAAAATCTTTATTAATGCCCAAAAATGCTTACATTTATGTGTCTTTTTGTTCGCTCAGGCAGCCATGTTGCCTCTGAAGCCGGTTTACGCTGAGATAATTCGGTAACGCTTTAGATTACAACCCGCAATGTACTGCGTAAGTAAACAGAATTTACAGCGTAACTTTTTTGTAATTACAGTGTACCTATTCAGTACCTCCGTGTAGGTATAAGGTAACAATATGCGAAGTTTGGAGAATAAAGGAGTAATAATCTGTAAAATTACAAATTATTTCTACTGTAAGTATTTTGAAACTAAGGGGTACCTATTCTAATATTACAGGGTATGTATGACCTCTTATATTTGCAAGCGATTAAGCAAAAACATACACTGTGTACTTTTTTATAGCCTACACATATAAAACACGCTGGTAATTGTTTCAATCCAAACGCTCGGTTGAGACTGTTGGGTTAGGAAGCTGGCTTGATGTGACCCAATTTGGGTTTATATCAGTAATAAGTAACCCGATGTTGCTGGGTTATGAATGTGGAGGACGTGAATGAGAGCATGCAGCAAGTCACGTGAGTTCAAACGTGAACGGCTCTGTGTGCGACGAAATCCGTGACTGCGGTGCTTAAGACAGGAACTTGTGTGGAAAATAGGAGAAAACGAATCGAAGCGCAGAAGAGGGACAACTTTGAAACTGTCTGGAGTGTGTTCCTTTAAACCTGCAGCAGTGAATGTGGTGAGTGTGAACTGGAAACAGCTGGAATGGCGCATGAGACGAGTCTATCCGTGTTTGCGGCGCTCATGACAGGAATATGTGTAGAAAATACAACAACACTAATCGACACGAAGAGGAGAGAGATTTTTGAAACTGACTGGAATGTGTTCTTTTAAAACTGGAGGGTTTTGTCCAAATATGTTCTCACAACATTGAGCAGCGACTGATGAGCGGTAAAACCGGGAACTGAAATATGTTAGTCAAAATGGTGCTTGAGGACGTGGATCAAAACGATAAAATCAAAGACGGTAAAATCTGTTGCCTGTGTTGTTACTGTCATCATATTGTGTGTGATTTTAATTTTAAAACCCATTTTGGGTTAATTTAACCCAGCAGTAGGCCTATAGTAAAT